ACACACACACACACACACACACACACACACACACACACACACACACACACACACACACACACACACACACACACACACACACACACAATTCTGAGAAACCATCTGACAGCAAATGGAAGATTCAAGTTTATGGGGCCAAATACAAAGAGGCATGAACAGTGACAAATTAAACCCTGCTTACACTAGGAGATATCAGCAGGATCACTGGGAACCCATAGGCTTAGCTCTGGCTTCAGTGACACAACGAAGAGTTGCCAGCTATATTCGCTGTAACTTACGGAATACAGTTGCATGTTGCCATTGGTATTAATCTTGTGTGTTCTTTTACACAGTAACCTCAAGTCTAAACATACAGTAATAACCTATGCATGTCACTTCTCTGCCCAGGGCACAGCTAACAAGGCCTTCTGGGTAGTAAGTAACAAGTATTTACACATTCTTGCAGATTACTTAGGTACAACCTGGAGTAATGAGTTTACGCTACACAAACCTGCTGCAAATGTGTAGCTCTGAGATATCACAGGTTACTCAGGTTTAACGAGTCACTGCCTGGTTATTTGTGCCTTGTGTAATAAAACTAACTAGTTGCATTTGCAGCACTACAGAAATGACTGTGCCGGCGCAGTCAGCTGGTATGTATCAGGGTTCTGGCTCCCTACAAGGTTTATCACTGAAGCAATGAGGTGATTTTTCTCACAAATCAAAGCGGGTTACCTTTGTTCGACCAGGAACGGAGTCACAGCACCTACTGGTTCCCTTTTGTACCTATGGCTACCTGGTGATAGCACATGGGGTGACCTCTGAGTCAGAAAAAGACCCTGTTGCAGATCCTGCAGGCTGACCTAAGTCAGGCAAACTAGTGTGTAGGTCTGTCTTAGTGTGCCAGAGTAAGTCAATCTCCGGAAGTGTGAGGCTCTACACGCACTTGTGTGTGTGTGTGTGTGTGTGTATGTATCTGTCTTGGTGTGTATATATAAAACATATGGGAAAAGGAGGGGAGAGAGGGACTCACTTGGGATGTGTGTCCATCTGAGTTAGGCGTCTATTTGTAACTGTGTTAGAGGAGCACTGTTGTCAACTGGTTCATTAACAATACTCTGCCAGCATCCCTTGAGTGCTAGCATTACTTCAGGCACTGATTTACAAAGTACATGTTGCATTCACTTCGTTCTGTGGCAAGTCTCCAGCTGGCAGAGTCTGGGTTGAAAGGCAATCATTATCAAGCACAAGGGCATCATCTTCAGAAATATCCCACAATGGCAGAAAACCCTTTGTAGTTTCCATGTTGAAATAAACTTACAGCTGTATTTGGTTTGTAAAGGTGGACAACGGATTTTTATTTGGTTGCAGTCTGAGGTTACGGAGATGTGATCAGAACTGTGGAAGAGCTTTCCTTGCGACCTAGGAGCCTCGGCTGACTCATGGAATAGAAAAGAGGCTTTTTTTAAAGTGATCAAGTGCTTCCGTGGCATTCTTCTGTCTCTTCCCCATGTCTGCCCACCTTCTGCTCTGGGGCTCAGGTCTCAAAGTACTTGTAAATCTGGGCCACGTACTGCATCACGCTCTGCCAGTCTGGCCGGTCTGTGTACATCATCTCACTGAGTTCCTGCACAGGACACAGAGAGGGTTAGCAAGGGGGAAAGAGTTTAAGGGTAACACTGGGTTTGGGGTCCTGAACCATGCATTTTCCTTTTCAGTGAGGGTCTGTTGTGTGGGCCACACCTCATTGCAGAGATTCATGCAGAACAAGAAAATCTTGTGGTGGTACTGATCTCCAAGGAACAACATGGGTTGATTGGAAAAGAGAGCTACTGCAGCAAACTAAACGTGTGTCTCAGCTTGTGAGGCATGGAGTCCCCTGCATAAAGAAATTACAAGCTGCCAACACAAAGTACAAGCAGCTGAATACAAAATACAATGTCCAGCCATTAGCATTCAGGGTAAGAGGAAGACTAAAGATCCCCAAGAAGACTCTTGTAATGAAGGATAATTTATACAGTGCTCCCTCACCTCACCAAAGTGCCTGGGATGCTTTAGAGCAGACAAGAAGCCAACGGTACTATAATGAACCTGACAGAATGAGTATTCCTCTTAATGTACAAGCAAGTTAGGCAATGACAGAGTCTCGCTGATCTGGCTCAAGGGATCATGCCCAGTGACTGCTGGAGAGCTAAGCACCCGCTCTACAAGTTACGTATACCTCAGAGTATTTTCAGATTTAACAGTCACCAAGTATTTTGTCTTCACTAGGTTACTTATCTCCCTAGGTCCAGTTCAGAGTAAAGCCTATTGTAATAAAAGTCTCTTGTGCATTGTTAGGGTAAGAAAACAGAAGGAATCCCTGAACTGGATCTTCACCTCTCAAAGCTAATTTGCCATAATCATACTCGCATGTTTCCGAGTGGACGTCTGTAGCCTGATTTGTAAGCGTCTCTTTCGGTGTGAGATGCCAGGTAGAGTAGCAAGTCCTCACACCCATGTGAAAAAACAGCATTGTGAGGAGCTACCTGAGTGAAACAGTCCTTTTGCCAGGAGAGCTTATTTTGTTCAGGGGACTAGTATAAGCTATACCAGCCAAAGAGCTCTTGCCAGCATATCCGTGTCTCCACTAGGTGGGCTCGGTAGGATAGCCATACTGGCAAACCCCTTTCTAGTGTGAACAAGGCCTTAGTCGGTGTGTGAAATCTTACTCATTCTCAGCTCTGTTGTGCTGGAGCAGTCCCAGTGGCTTCAAGACAGTTGCACCCATATAACTGAAAGGGCCTCTCTTTAATTAAGCCTCCTCAATTAATGTTCGACCAGTGCTTTGAAAATATAAAGCACTAGATAAAGGCTAAGTAGTATTAATATCTTCTCAGCTTCACTGCCTTGGGATTTAAGGTTTCTGTGAATTTCTGGAGAAAGTGGCTTTCTGATCTCCAACCTTCTTAGCTGCCCAGAGCGGATGCCAAAATCTTCACATCAGATCTTAATGGAATATGATGGGTTTTGTCTTAGCCACAATAGAGAGTGCAGGCTACTGCCAGAAATAACAGGCCATCTATTGGATAAATGTTTATATGTTGGCAAAGTTTTATGGGAGCAAACACAGCCAAGCCTAATTAATAGAGCTGGTTGGAAAAATTCTGACAAAAGAGTTTTTGCTGAAATTTACCAATTTGTCATAATTGAAATGTTTCAATTTTGACCTAGTTCCTCCAGAACCCATGCAGTTTCCTGTGAGCTCACCCACCTAGCTCCTTGGCAGCCCAGATTTCCAGCATCCATGGCCCCAGGGGAGAACACCACCCATGTAGATGGCCCCAGTGCTGGGAACCACGGGACTTCCAGGGTCCATGGCTCCAGGCACCCGGTCAGGCAGACTGCCTTGCATTTAGGGACCACGGGGCTTCCAGTGTTATGGCCCCAGGGCAGCCAGCCAGGTGGACTGCCCTAGAATCACAGGACCCGAGGGCTTTCCCTTTCAAAGAGAATTTCAAAATTTGTGGTTTTCGTTTCTAATCAGAATGAAACCAGATTTCAAAATCTGAAAATCGGCAAACCCTTACTTGCCTAAATAAAGAATACTAAGCAGGGGCTCGTCTCAGGCAGCTCTGTTTGAATTTGGTTTCTTGGGGGTGGGGTGGTTAGGAAATCTTATCCTTCGATATAAAATGTGCACCTTAGAGGAGAGCGCTCAGTACCCTGCCGGCTTGTGCGTTTCGCACTGACACAGCAGAGCCATTCTGAGGCCCACACAGCTGGGCACACCAGACACTTGAAATGAGACAATTGTGTAATGTGGTTTTCGCCCTTTCAGCTGGGAGAAGTTGGTATTCAGGCAACATCTTAGGGGCCTTTCCACTCACGAGGGGGATGGGGAAGGGTGAATAGCACCGTAAAGGGATGCAGTCTGAAAAGGAAAATAAGTCAAAGGCACTGTGACTTGCTGAAATAAACAAGTTACAGCTCATGGCCAGATGTCACAAAGTGCTCTGAGGAACTCGAGGGCATCTTCATTACAGTGAAGGACCCAGTCCTGCATATGCACATATGGGGATATTTTATTTCTGCCTGTGGTCCTAGTGAAATCAAGAGCACTGTGTCTGCAGCATTAGCTCCCACCTCACTAGCAGACAACCTGGCTGTCTACAGGGACTTCAATAGACCAAAATGACACTGAGGAAATTTCCCTCCCCTGGGTTGGACTTGAAGGAGAGTTGTCACCTTAAAAAAAAAAAAGTATGCAACCTACCTGCTTGCTTCCTCTCTCACAGCAGAGAACTGCTAAGCAAAAGCCCTATTTGTATGGGCTACAATAGGGAAATTTTGCAAAAAATATCCCACTCTTTTACTGGGTCAGCTCCCCCAGTGCTATCAGCCCTGGGTAGACAAATCTAATGCTAAGACTCTCATTCAGTTCCAGAATTAATTCAATTAGAGTCTTAAACTGCACAACAGTCAATCAAGGCTATGCATTGGCCTAATGTATTTGTGAGGGTGATATACTAAACGCACTAAGTAGTGCCAAGGCACAAGCTGATTAGACAGCCAGATGCATCTGATGTCCCATAAGGATCTTTTCAATCTGCACTGACGGATTAATTCTCTATGTATGGTTATTATACTTCAAGTTTCTTCTATGTGCAGACACATGTTTCCAGTTCCTTATTTAGCTCACAAACCCCTAAAGGTTTAACCTCTGCATAGTAATCTCCTTGTTCCACGTTTGCTGTCACGCTCTTGGCTCTACCCAAGGCATTTTAAAACAGGGATTTTAGCATTTTCCTTCTGGTTGTTAAACCAGTAATGCAGCCGGTTGAAACATGGATTGACAGACAGACATGGGGCTTTCCCACACATAGCGGGGGTCACGGCAGGAATGGCTAACTGTAATTAACAACTTCATATCAGCAGTTATGCCTGCTGGGAAGTGCTCCTCAAGTTAAGAGCTTTCAGACTAGTGGCCTGGGCATTTGGCTACACTTTTCCTTTAACACTAAGGATACGTCTATACTTACCTCCGGGTCCGGAGGTAAGCAATCGATCTTCTGGGTTCGATTTATCGCATCTTGTCTAGATTTATCGCATCTTGTCTAGATCGATCCCGGATCGACTCCGGTACTCCTGCTCCGCGAGAGGAGTACGCGGAGTCGACGGGGGAGCCTGCCTGCCGTGTCTGGACCCGCGGTAAGTTCAAACTAAGGTACTTCGACTTCAGCTACGTTATTCACGTAGCTGAAGTTGCGTATCTTAGTTCGAAGTGGGGGGTTAGTGTGGACCAGGCCTAAGTGAATGTTTTTAATGAGAATAAATGGGCTGCATTGTAATGGAGGATTTAGATCTATGCATTCAAACCCCCTTCCCCTCCTCATCCACACACCCTGCCCAGCACCCAGGTACTCACCAGACTGGGTTTGATGCCCACACTTTCAGCAGCTTGAAAAGCCAAAAGCAGATTTCTTTTCTGTGAAAATAAGGCAGGAGACACCATCATTAAGCTTAGCACCAAAGCAAGCTCTCTATTCCTGAATCTTGCCATGGAGCTGTGGTGTTGAATTGGTCCAAATCAGAAGATGTATTTAAAAAATGAACAAGTATCAGACTTAAGATCTTCAAACAGACAAGATGTGTCAAGGCTCAAGATGAGAAGACCCAGTCATACTAAGCAACAAGTCTCCAAAACGTAAGGAATCTACAATCCAACAAACTCATCTGCAGCAAGGTATGTTTTCTCAAAGTTTGTGCGGGTTGTTAGAGTGGTGTTTCTGTAAAGAGCTGAAATGACCTGAAAAATCAGGGAGAATTTTCTATTTTAAGGGAATTCTGCTTATAACTGATCTTTTCACCCTTTCTTTGTAATTAGGATGTCCTCATGCCCACAGTCTCTCTGTCTCTGAAGAGTTCATCTACTGTTGTTGAAGCAACAATCCACTGTTTGTAACAATGGAACTTGTTCTTGTGAAATTGATTATGGCGCCTCAAGGAGAAGATTGTGATTTCAGATGGATAAATATGCTGTAGCAATAAAGGCTGAAAAGTGGGGGTCAGAACCAGCTAACAGACAAGGAAATGGTGGCTCAGTTTAAGGCATCAGTGACTAGACAGTGCAATTCCACTGGGATTGTGTGGTGGTGGGCAATTTATAGAAAATTTTTGAATTGGGAATAATAACCTTGTTGTTTGCCTCGGTGAGAAATATCTCAAGGCACCAGGAGTGTTGCTAAACACAGGGTCAGAGAAAGACAGATCAAGAGAGGGAAAATTCATCTTAATGAAAATAGTTCTTATTTATCTCTGTAAAAAAGGCAGATGGGAGGTTGTAATCAGCAACCTGAACAACATTATTAGAAATGGGCCTAAAAAACCCAAGGTACAATAAAATTTTGGGGGAAATTCAAATCTAGTTCCCAAATTCTCAGCTGAGCCCTATCCTTATTATCTATCAAACCAAACCCTGCATCCAAACATCCCAAATGTCAGAAAACCTATAATCCAGAGCTGGACTTTGTGGCTTAGGTCCATCTTTACATTTCACTGTGATTAATCATTATTACATGGATTTCTAAAGTATCCATCCCTGTAGTGTCTGGGCTTTCAGATTACGATGCTATTTTACTGCAGTATGTACCATGTTTCAGACACTGTTCAAACAGATTACACGTGATTTGCTTGAAGAGACCACAGGAAAGCTTGTGTTCCTGGGGCTGTCCCCGCAGTGTCTGACTAATCCTTTCCTAAGGCAGGGGTCTTGGCCCTTGTTCTCTCACTCTCTCTCTGTTTTTGCTTGATGGAAAGTTCAAACCCAAGCAGGAAAGTGAAAGATTTTGGGTAGATTCTGATAAGACAGAGTCATTCCCTGTGGTTTCGTTGTCATCTAAAGCCTGGAAAGTGTATGTGTGTGGGAGAGGAAGGGAGGAAGAAGCTGTGGTCTCTAATCCACTGTCTGACCAAATAAAAACTCTCCTCTTCTGAGATGAGCTAATGTTGGCTGACTCCCCAACTGAGCAAGGTGCTTGTGGTTTTTACCACCTCTCTCTACAACATGCTCAGCTGTAATTTTCCCATCTGAGAAGATGATGACAAACTGTTAGCAGACCCCGCAGCACCTTCCACAGGAGGTGCTGCTGTTGTTGCACTAACTTATTCTTCACCTCCTCCAATGTAAAGTTTGCAGCTAACCACATCGGCCTAAGTGGAAATCTTGAACCCAGGTTTCCCACATGGCAGCATGTGGTACTACCTCAGCCTGTAGCTTTATCTACCAGGGGATACTCTGATAAAAGCTATTCTCCAGCTCAACTCTACTAGGTGCTTGGTCCCTGTCTTGGTTAATGTATTTTTTTGCTCCTGTTACACCAGTCACCATAAAGAAAACCCTTAGAACCTTCTGCTACTCCTGGCCTGCTCGTTACAGTTAATGGGCATGCTCTCTGTGGCCAATGGAACAATGCAGCTGATATATGTATAATGAGAGCACATCTAGGACCTACCCACACTATGGCCTAGAAGACTTATAGCTTGGTTTCTCTGACAAAGCTAGAATCTTACACATCCATAGCACACAGCCCAGTCCTAGATATATAACAATGCTCTTGGGATTTGCCACAGAACACCCTTTGCAGCTTGTATCTGCTTCAGTCCTTTCAAAGGAGTAATGGACCCTCTCCAGTTTCTGTCAGATTTGCTAATGGCCAATTCCCTGTTCATTTGGCTTTGCTCCTACACTTTTGTGCCTCTGGGCATTTCTTCTTTCATAATGAAAGGAGCCTGAGCAGTCCTCCTCCAGGAGTCTCCTCTACTCCTCCCACACAGGTAACAAAGCCCATCTGCATATCTAGCCATTTCAGTGTTTTTCCACCTCATCACATGCTCTCCCAGCAAAAGGTTTTCTCAAATAAGGGCTGTCCAAAGGGCAGGTAAAGCCTTTGAAAAACAAAGAGCTGATATCACCTGGTTAGCTCTTTTCAAAGCTCTCTGGGCTAAATCCTAACACCGGGCACACTGGGGCTTTGTCTTCACTGGCAGGAAAAAGTTTGTTTTTAACAGGTGTTAGCTAATTTGTTAAAACCCTAGTGTAGACAATGTAATTGGTATTCACGGTAAACCTAGGCTTTCCCTATCTGTTGTGTCAGTAATGTATTTACAGTTGAAAGGTCTGAGACAGAGGGAAAGAGAAAGTGGGATGTGATGCAGGAATGTGTTGAAATTAGTGTTGCTAACTTTCTGATTGCAGAAAACCTAACACCCTTGCCCTAGCCCTTTCCCCAAGGCTCTGCTCCCACTCATTCTATCCCCCCTCCCTCTGTCACACGCCCTCCCCCATGCTCGCTCACTCGCTCATTTTCATCGGGCTGGGGCAGGGGTCTGGGAGGAGGTGAGGGCTCTGGCTGGGGATGCAGGAGGGGGCTCTAGGCTGGGGCATGGGAGGGGGTTTGGGTTCCAGGTGACACTTACCTCATGTGGCTCCCAGAAGTGGCTGGCATGTCCTTCCGGCTCCTAGGTGGAGGCGTGCCCAGGGGCCTCTGCCCACTGCCCCCATCAGCAGGTGCCGCCCCCACAGCCCCCATTGGCCACTGTTTCTGGCCAATGGGAGCTGTGGAGCCAGCGCTGGAGGCAGCACCTGTGTATGGGGACAACACACAGAGCCCCCCTGGCCGCCCCTTTGCCTAGGAGCCGGAAGGACATGCTGGCCGTTTCTGGGAGCCACGCAGAGCTGGCCTCTGCGGTCAACTGGACTTTTAGTGGCCCCGTCAGCTGTGCTGATCAGAGCTGCCAGGGTCACCTTTTGACCGGGCATGCTGGTCGAAAACCGGATGTCTAGCAATCCTAGTTGAAATGCTTTTTCTTTGTGACATGCTGTTTTCCCAGCAGCTCCACTGAGTGATCTCTACGCTGCACTGAGTCAGTATGGTAATGCCCATACCCTGTGTCATTGGAGGGGAGGAGGCACAGGGGTAGAGCAGATGAACAGATCACTAACTGGAAAGCAATGTCCAAAATTCCCAGCTTGACAATAAACACTCTCTTTCCAACTGATTCTTTCACATTAAGGCTGGAACTCCATAGAAATCCTGGAGGACCAAAATATGCAGCTCAATTATCAAAACACTTTGTCCTCTGAGGCGCCTGGGTTCTTTACCAGTCACTGGAAGGGAGCCGCCTCCCCAGAGTCACAACTCTTGGGACAGTAGGAGCAATCGGAGGTGTTTGTGGGAGCCTTTCAAGGGGGCGCTTTTCTTCTTCATGTGGGCATGCAACACCCACTGGATTTAGCCACCCGGCAGCAAGACCTTAGGCAGGATTTAACCTGTTGGAGCGCCCGCTCCTTGCCACTACTCTTCCCCTCCTCCTATTTTTTTTTAGGGTTTTAATTAATTTATTTTCTCTCCCTTTTGTTTTTGTTCCCCCCACCTATTCATTGTATCTGTCTGAACGCTATGACTTTTATGCCAGGTCTGCACCACATCACCACAACGGAAGGCCTTCCCCGGGAATCCTCCTGCTGCCGATTGAGAATCAACGCAAAGCATGATCAAGAGCAGAACTAGCAGGACTTACTTTATCCTGGCCATTGAGCTCCTGGTATGGAATGTGTGCAGGCAGGTAGGTGTGGAGGAGAGCGCAGAAGGCCAGCCCATCGCTCCAGCTGCTGCTGAAGTTGGTAATGTCTATGTTCTGTGGGAGGAAACAACAAAACCATTACTGAGTGCTGCTGACGTCAGGCAATGGCCCGAGTGAACAGCCCTTGTAGCCAGTGAAGCAGGGCAGAGCCAGCATCAACATAGATACAGAAGAACATGAGGGATAACAGGTGGCTAGAAAGACTTTCTCTGAGCTCTGAAGGTACTAAATTCTGTCCAGCTGAGTGCTACATGGAGCTCCAGGTAAGTGGCTAAGGCCTTCTTGTAGCCATACTTATGCGCAGCTGGGGGAGACTACAGGCTTCCTGGGTCAAGATGGAGCGCTGATGTTGAAGCCCTAAAATGAAACAGAAGGCTACTACGGGCTGCGGTGCGGAATTCTCTGGGCTGCATCTGGCCTGCAGGCTGCACCTTGCCTAAACTTCTTGAACTGTCCCTTCGTGGGGCACTGCCAGTCTCCGGTCACTACAGAAACATTGCGTTACTTTTTCATTTTTTTGCTCTGTTCTATATCAGCACTGGGCAGATGAGGAATCCAGGTGGCTGGTTTCAAACACCTGGGCAGAGCTTTGTTAAGAGTTAAGCTGGTCCCAAATCTGACCCCAAACAAGGGAAGTATCTGCCGCTTTCCAGAAAGTGAGAAATGCCTTGTGCAGCATGAACCTTGGCTGGGGTTTTGATCCCTGCCCTGTCAGGAGGAAGGAACTGTTTCAGGCGTGTCTGTATAATGGGCTGGCTCGGCTGCATCCCGTGCACCCCCTCATGGCCTAGGACCATGCTACAGACAGCCTGTCTCAGTTTCCCCTCTTGGACTGTTCAAAGAAACCTCACTTCAGGCTTTTTCTTGGTCAAAAAATATTGCTCCTTGGGGACTCAGTTTATTAATATAAATGAAACTGTAACTAAAACTGAGCCCCCCAAAACAAAGTCCATTCATAAAGCCACACAAGCCAAGGTTTCTCTTCCTTCTCCAAGGCCTTGCTGCCTGGGGCCTTTGCAGTCCCTCGCCTGCCTGGTCAGGGTCTCTACCTACCTACTTGGAGAGTTTTCCTCACTTTCAGCGTAGTCTGCCACAGCTTCCTGAGCTTTCCCCCTTCATTGCAACCTCCTGCTACTCTCTATAGGGCAGTCACCCCAATGTCTTCCAAGCGTGGCTCAGTCTATCCAGGGTTGGCTAGCTCCAGCCCACAAGGGGTGAGCCACCCTGTTATAGTGACCTCATTGCAACAGCTCAGACACAATTTCTCCAACATGTAAAATCAAAAGTCACCAATATTGAAAAACACTATTTTGTAATCAATTACAAGTTGCCTTGTAATAGGGACGCCTAGTGGGGAGATGGATTTGATGAACAGTGAGTTGGGATAGCTAGTGCATTGGACCACAACACCTTCCCAGCCCTACTTACCAGACCCGTGCTTTAGTAAGGATGTGTGATTAACTGCTAAAAGTCAGCTCAGTGTGGTAGCATCAATTGATGAAATACCATGCTAGTTCTTAAGCCCTAAATAAATAACATACTTGTTCATTTAGCACAAGGGTGCACAAACTTGGCAACATGAAAGGCTACATTGGCAACGCTCCATGAGCCGGGCAGATGTAGCTAATTTACATACATATTTACATGAATGCTTGATTGTATCTTCATATTCTGCACCTCCAGCTCAGGGTCACAGAGTACTTTACAAAGCCAAAGTTGAATAAAACATTACCTCCTGTGAACAGATGGGGAACCCGAGGCTGAGTTTAAGTCATTTATCCAAGGTGTCACAGAGACAACAGCAGTTAGGAATACAGCGCAAGTCTCCTGACTCTCCCTCTCATGATCTAACCTAGTTCTTACAGCAAGAGACCAGTCTCCCTAGAACACTAGTCAACTAAATAAATATGACCTTCCCGCTCATGCTAAGCTACACCAAGAGCAAGAAAAGATCCTGGTGAAATGTAGAAAATTGACACAGACCTTTAGGCCTCAACTTGTTTAATAAACTAGTAGTTTCCATCCAGTCTGACATCCTGTGTGACACAGGCCATAGCACATCCCTACAATCATTCCTAGAGCAGATCGTTTAGAAAAACATCGATTCCAGATCCAAACACTGAATTCCTACTCTTGGTATTATTGGTGGCTACTGGCATTTTTATAACCACATCAGCTATGCCTTCTCTGAGTGGGTCTAGAGGACATGCTGGTTGAGAAGTGTGTGCACTGGCACTCCTACCATTTCTAGTGCCAGTGAAGCGGCACTGATAGTAGCAATAATGGGAAAAAGAGGAAAAAAATCTAATACAGACACAGCTTTATTCCCTTTGGCAGGGCTTTGGAGCTCTGCTCCAGCTCCAGGCAAAAACCTGCAGCTCCACTGCTCCGGAGCTGCTCCGGCTCCGGGCTCCCCTGCACTGAGGTGTGCCCACCTTCCCCTTTTCCCAGACGGTGTGACAAGATGCTCTTCTCCCCTGGTATTGTAACCTAACGGAAGGTGGTACAGTACACGGAGATTGAGCCCTACTGGTGAAAACTGGAGGCTTTTAAATTGCGTGTTGGCTGGGCTCAAGGCCCAAGCAGCCTGTGGTTGATGGGTACAGATTATAGGGATTATGGAAACAGATAGGAACCCTTTAAAAGAGAGACAAACCAAGTAAGAGCTCTAAAACGCAAAGGCCTTAGCAGACACAGAGTACGCTGGGCTAGAGCAGGGCCAGGGAACAAAGATTCTCTGCAGGGCCTTTTTCTCAGGCATAATTGCAATTGAAAGCGTTTGTGGTTTAGCACTGAACATGAGAGCAGAGTGACCCTTCTAAACCTCTTGGGGCCAGTGCTGTAGCCACACTGGCCTGCTAAAGAACGCTCATATCTAAGCTTGGCTTCTTGAATTCTAAAATGACAACGAAAACCAAAACAGTGGCTGGCTGTTGAAATTGTAATGATGCTGAAAAGAAAGTAACAGCTCTGGATATTCATTGCAGGGTATGAGATGCTTCCAGTATACTAAAGCATTGTCTCTCTCGATCACCCTGTCTCACATTACAGCAGGTGTACAGTTCTCATAGACCATTCCAATCAAACAACCCTTGCACTGATGCTCTACATAACCTTGACACAAAGACTCTATGACTCTTAATATTCTTTATTTAACTGTTTTTCAGCCACCTCCCAGTCACACACAAGAGATGGATCCCAATACTCCTATTATGCTGAAAATGACACCCACACAGTCAGACCCACTGATGCAGACACCAAGTCTTTTAGTATAAGCTCTTCACTTATGGTGCCTCACTTATTATCCCACCTGGAATTTGTGCCAGCCTATCCAATTGCTGGATAGCTGACTGTGATTGGGTTATTAATACACTTAACAAAATAAGACTTTAACTGCACTTTAAAAATACCTATACTTTTATTAATAAGATGGCTTCCGATTGACTGAAGCAAATCTATATCAGCTCTGTAATCCAACCAGAATGCAGGTCTCCAGTAGCACAAGGAGTAGCTATCACTGCACCGCAGCCAGCAGCCACATGATACAATAAGTAATGGACATCAGTCAATTGAGATAACAGAAATAAAGACCTAGCAGTTGAACACTGTACAAGATCAATGTCTCCTGCTTTGAAAATAAATGTCTTGGCTTTGCTTGAGCATTAAAGTAGCAGCAGGAGACCATTATCCTGTAACAATGTTCTGTTCCCAGACTCCAAACCTTAATGAAGAGTGAGTTAATTGTGTTAAGGAGTTGGGTGAGATTGGATTGCCCTGCTTTCCTGCATCTTTCAGAGAAATCAGTTGCATGTTATCCACCAATTTAGTTACCTGAGAGAGAGATTTACTGCTCAAGTCACTGAAAGCTGCTTGCTTTCAGACTGTCTCAGACATGCAGGCCACTTGCACCATCAAGTACACTGTCACTGATTTATAAGGTTCTTGTTTTATAGCAGTGTTTAGTGACAGAGGGTGGAGATAAGGTTTTTCTTATCCCAATGGTCAGGAAAGTGGACACAAACAAGCTCTGCAATTCTCAAGTTATGCTTTAATACTCCTCTGCATACAGCAACTTGAGCCTCAATAGATTGCAAGATTACAGTCGTCCAAGGGAAATGGTGGAAAGCCTATTGCTTGAGAAATTTCAAACTAGATTGGACAACATAGTAGTAAAGATACTGTAGGAAACTCTCCTATATTGGCTGGGCTATAGACAGGGTGACCTGGCATGTATTTTCCACCTCTAACTTCTACAATGCTATGAGGACAATGCCTGGACACCTGCCTTTAGGGTGCTGCTGTCCTCTTTGCACATTGAAGCTCACTGGAAACTAAATCCATTACTGCAGGGTGTGTCACCTACCAGCAGAATTTCTAGCACTGACTAAAAACCAACCCAAGACAGATCTGCAACAAACTTTCTTCTGGAGACCAGTTTGTATGAAATGAAAAGAGGCTGTCTGAAATATTCCATTCCTGTATCTGGTTTAGGTTTTGCTAACAGAAATACCAACTGAGAAGCCACTAGGAGATGGATCTCTGCCCTCTGATCCAGCAGCTGGGCCTCCTCCCTGGAGAACTGGAAACCCCAAACCCAGCGACTTCCACCTTTATGTCCAAAATCTCACTTGCAGCCATGCAGGATTGGGATATGGACCTGGAGTGTGGGATAATGCTTTGGACAGAAATGAGTGGAATGGTGGGATTTTGCTTTTCTGGAAGGGTTTTGAATGTGAAATCAGAAGAGACCTCAAGGGGAGAAATATGCAGAGATCTGACCTGTCCAATTTTTTTGATGTTCCAAGCTATAAAAACAGCTGTGCAACAGCTGGGGAGGGCAGAGGAGGGGAGGCTGGTCAGCTGGGAGCCTCTGGAAAAGCAGACATTCCCACGTCACCTACCAAAGCAGAGAGTGTACTCCCTGATACTTCCCCCCCCCACACACACAGACAGAGAAAATCTGGCATGTTACCCCCATATGCTCCAGACTTTGCTTCTGACAGACGTTCAGGACCAGGGAGGAGACAACAGTGGGAAAGACATATTTTATCTCAAACATCAACCTTAACCTTTGCCGGCAAGGCTGGAGTGACATCAGGGAGCTCAGAAGACATCAGGGAGTCCAAGGGGAGGAGAGAGACTCCCCCACCCCTATGTGGATTACTGTTCTAACTAAGCAGTGGGAAAAAGGAGACTCCCATTTGCAATAAGCTCCTGATGCATCTTTTCAGGTGAGAGAAACCCTCTGAAACCAGCCTAAGGATCACAGTCAGCACAGAGGCTGCCTGAATGAGACTTGCCATTCAGAAGCTAATTCAAAACTGCTTCTGCTGATCTGCTCGGACAAGCTTATTGCTCAAGTTGCACTAAGTGCTGGAGTGAAAAGTCCAACACTGCGGAATTATGCCATTGCAAAGCTCTGGGATTTCAAGATGAAGTTCCTGCACAGAGCCCCATAAGGGAGGTCAGACTAAAGGTAAGTGACACCTCCTAGATCTCAGAGCTTGATCTCAAGCCTACGATTGGAAGCTGCGAACAGTAGGTTCGATATTAGGAAAAAAACTTCCAACAATAAGGGAAGAAAAGCTCTGGAACAGGCTTCCAAGGGAGGCTGTGGAATCCCTGTCATTGGAAGATTTTAAGAACAGGTTGAAAAAATACCTGTCAGGGATGGGCTGGTTTTACTTGGTCCTGTCTCAGAGTAGGGGGGTGGACTTGACCTCTCAAGGTCCCTTCCTGACCTACATCTCTAGGATTCTATGCACAATGAACTTTTTCAGAATACTTTACACCTTCAAAGCACTAGACACATTAATTCCCTCATTTAGGATGAATTCTTACTCTGACCTTTTATGGCCCAGC